TTAATTAATTAATTAATTCCAATACAAAACTACAATCTCAAACCATCATGCAGTGGAACTTTTCACTAATAGTAAAACTATAAATAAAAATGGATGAATCGACATTCATCATCATGTTTGCCTGATCAGGTCAGCATTAAAGTCAAACAGTATTTAGAGCAGAGGTTCTCAAACTGTGGTCCCAGGACCCCCAGGGGTCCGTGAGTCGTATTTTTGGGATTAAAGAGGCTGATATCATGTAAAATATTTATATATATTTTTGAGTTTTATATCATGTTTTAATGTTCTCCTCTCATCAAAAACATGTCCAGAGTCTAACTTTGACTCATTCATGCATGTTTGATGAATCCTGCAGTGTCCTGAGGCAGCAGGCAGGGGAGCAGAAACAACCAGTTTGGACCAGAACCACCTTTTTGGACCAGCTCCTCCTTTGGGCTGTCTCCAAGCGGAGCCTCCTCCTCACAGAGCACACACCCACCGTGCTGAAATGGGCGGAGCAGAAGGAGGTTCTTAAAGAGACAGAGGCCAATGTCAAGGTGTTTTGAAACAGATGTGATGAGAAGTCAAGTTTATTTTCTATTTAAACATAAAAACAACATTTTAATAACAACTGAAGGCAACATAGATACTTTATAATGGTATAGTATTTAAATATATGCCTGAGAAACACATAATATTGCCTCTTTAAAAAATGCACATGGAGAACAGAACAAACATACTAAACCAAACAAAAGATAATATTTAGGAGGTAAAATGACAGTGAACTATTTTTAAAACAGCATGGGGTTTATAAGGGGGTCCCTGGAAATTATTTACCTTTGTAAGGGGTCCTCAGACCCAAAACTAGGAGAACCCCTGATTGAGTTCAGTAAACCTGAACGTGTTTGAAAGCTTTGAGCTGGAACAAAGTTTTCATTACCGATAAACTACAGAAGAAAAGTCAGGATCCATTCATCGGTGCTACAAACTCAAACATCAGAGGGAAACATTCCTGTGGGCCGATGAAAACACTGATTTCACTGTCAGCCGAGAGGCGGAGCTAACGTTTCACTCCTGTTTGTCTCTCTCCAGACCTCCAGCAGCAAGAGGAAGTTCTCCTGGATCAGCTGCTGGACTGCTCCAGTCTGGACCAGAAGGAACCAGAACCTCCACAGATGAAGGAGGAAGAGGAGGATCTCAGCATCAGTCAGGTTAAGGAGCAGCTTGAACCGAAACAGGAGACCAGAACCTTCCCTGTGACTCTTGTTGATGAAGACCAGCAGGAACTAGAACCCAGCTCGGACCTCTCTCCCATCTCTGAGAGTCTGAGTGGTCCCGGCTCAGTTCAGAGGCTTTCACAGTGTGAGTTCTGTGACAAAACCTTTAAGTTTAAATCGCAGCTGAAGGAACACTACAGCGTCCACACTAGTGAGAAACCCTTTGTTTGTCAGACCTGTGGGAAAAGTTTCCGGATGATTTATTACTTAAAGACCCACATGAGAACCCACACGGGGGAGACGCCATTTTGTTGTAAAACATGCGGGAAAGGTTTCACTCAAAGTGGGAACTTGACATCTCACATGAGGGTTCACACCGGTGAGAGACCCTACCTGTGTGAGACCTGTGGGAAAGGTTTTGGTAACAGCAGAGGTTTGTTTCACCACATGAAAATTCACGCCGGTAAGAAACCATTTTCTTGTGAAACATGTGGGAAAGATTTCGTTCAAAAAGGGAACTTGACCGCTCACATGAGGACTTGCCTCGGTGAGCGTCTGTATCCATGTGAACCATGTGGGAAAGATTTTACTGACAGGAGAGTCTGGTTGGACCACATGAGAGTTCACGCCAGTGAGAAACCATTTTCCTGCACACTGTGTGGGCAGCGCTTCAGTCACAGCTGCTCTTTGACTGTTCACACGAGAACGCACACGGGCAAGAAGCCCTTTTCATGTCGAACATGTGGGAAAAGTTTCACACAAAGCGGGAACCTGAATGTGCACATGAGGACTCACAGCAGCGAGAGACCGTTTCCCTGTGAAATGTGTGGGAAAGTTTCAAATCCAGACAATATTTAACGACGCACATGAGAATTCACACAGAGGAGAAACCATAAAGCTGTCCAGGAAACAACTCCAGATTAAAAATCATAGATAATGTAGAAATACACAAGAGTAGAAGTATTGTTGGACTGAAATAAAAACTTTTCTGTGTAACTTGTTCTAATAAACCTGATGAAGCTGCAGACGTGTTTGAAGTCATTTAATGTATAAAAAGCTTTAAAACAAAGTGTTGTCATGGTAACGGGTCAGAAACATGTCAGAGGCTGAGCGATCAGCAGAGGGATGAATAGGATCAGTGTTTGGTGATTTATGGAGCTGCAGCTGTCGCTGGGTCCCTGCAGGGACAGGAAACAGATCTGAGGTCAGCTGACAGGAAGTAAAGCCGTCACTTCCTGTTTGGGTCTGATGGATGATGCTCAGACTTTATGACTCTTTTTATTTTTTTTCCTCACCCTATCTTTGGCGTCTGACATCTCTCCTACATCTTGTTCTGTGCTCGGCGTCACTATGAAGACATAAAACAGATTCATCTGTTAGAACCACAGAGAACCGACCCAAACGGTTCTGATCCAGAACCCCCCCCCCCCCCGCCTGCTCTCACCGAAGTAATAATCAAAGGTGTAGTTGTAGTCGTAGTCAGGTGTAGGCGTTACAAGAGAGTCATAGTTATAAAAAACTGTTGTTTCCTCGTCTTCATCACTTCTGACCTTTCCTGTTAAAAAATAAAAACATCAAAAGTCAGGATCAGGTTTTATCAGGTTTAAATTAATCAGGTTTGTTTTAATCAGGTTTATGTAGAAACATGGAGGTTTGTGTGTGTGTGGGGGGGCAGTGACAGAAAAAACAAACGCTACTGAAAGTGCAGCTTGAAACTTCAACAGGTCAGAGGTTAAAATAATATAATTAAGTGTTAAAATCAGACAGTTGATCAGATTTTTATTTCGTCTCTGAAGTGAGCTGGAGAACAGGAAATGATCGTTACTGAACTCATAAACTGGTCCGGAGGGTTGAGGATCAGGATTTTCTGTCTCTACCAGCTTGCTGTAAATCTGAAGTTTTTCACCAGCTCTCAGATGTCAGTTTTTCTTTCAGTCTGAGTCTGAGGCGGTCCCGCGGTGACCTCTGACCCCTCAGATGGCAGGCCCGTCTCTCTGCAGAGGACTGATGGATGCTGTTTTGCTTGGTTCTCACAGCAGACAGGAGTTTGGCTCAAAGTTTCCTGTTTCTGAGGGAACTTGCCCGTTTTAAGAACAACATGAACTGGAGCGTTCTCCTGTCTGAAGATAATGTGACGAGTTCAGACCTGTCGGCCGTCAGAGCCTCGGGCAGGACAAACAGAAAGTTAGCTGTCAGCAGCTCAGCTCTCTGAGAAGGAAAGGATCCATCTGCTGAGAGGATTTCATCACCGAGGACAGAGATGTTCAACATAAATCTGAAGTTTCTGATGAAACCATTTCAGTTTGATTTGTTGTCCTCTTGTGAAAAATCTCTGTTGAATGATGGACCTCAAATAGTTTGGGAATGACCTTTGACCTTTCTCAGACCATCACAGGGACACAGATAAAAACACAAACAACTATCCACACTCAGGTCACACTGAAGAGCTCAAAAAGTATTTCAAACTGGGAACTCTGGAATCAGATCCCCCTGCTGCTTCACAAACTTTAAATTACATTAATACTTTATCATATCTACCACAGTAAATTATGATTATCATGAGGAGTCTTTAACATTGAGATTTAATCAGGGAGTCAAATATTTATAAATTTATTATAAATTATAATTAAAGAGGAGCCGTGCAAATTTATGCTTGTATCAAGTAGCGCTTCATGCTACTAGGTACCCCCGAAGTAGCTCCTAGGCTCAAAAAGTGTGGTGACCCCCGCCATAGATGTTAATTTGCTAACACATAGCATACATGTTTCCTTCTGTAAACACCGTAGATGCTAACATGTAGCAGTCATGTTTTTTTTCTGTAAACACCCTGGATGCTAACAATAACACAGCATTCGTGTTTCCTTCTGTAAACACCATGGATGCTAAATGCTAACACGTAGCATCCATGTTTTCTTCTGTAAACACCATAGATGCTAACATGTAGCATCCGTGTTTTCTTCTGTAAACACCATAGATGCTAACATGTAACATCCGTGTTTTCTTCTGTAAACACCATAGATGCTAACATGCTAACATGTAGCACTCGTGTTTTTTTCTGTAAACACCCTGGGTGCTAACAATAACACAGCATTCGTGTTTCCTTCTGTAAACACCATGGATACTAAATGCTAACACGTAGCATCCATGTTTCCTTCTGTAAACACCATAGATGCTAACATGTAGCATCCGTGTTTTCTTCTGTAAACACCATAGATGCTAACATGCTAACATGTAGCATCCATGTTTCTTTCTCTAAACACCATGGATACTAAATGCTAACATGTAACATATGTATTTCCTTCTGTAAACACCATGGATGTTAAAAGCTAACATGCAGCATCCATGTTTTCTTCTGTAAACACCCTGGGTGCTAATATTAACGTTGCAGTCATGTTTCCTTCTGTAAACACCATAGATGCTAACATGTAGCATCCGTGTTTCCTTCTGTAAACACATTGGATGCTAAATGCGAACATGTAGCATCTGTGTTTCCTTCTGTAAACACATTGGATGCTAAATGCTAACATGTAGCATCCGTGTTTCCTTCTGTAAACACATTGGATGCTAAATGCGAACATGTAGCATACGTATTTCCTTCTGTAAACACATTGGATGCTAAATGCGAACATGTAGCATACGTATTTCCTTCTGTAAACACCTTGGATGCTAAATGCTAACATGTAGCATCTGTGTTTCCTTCTGTAAACATATTGGATGCTAAATGCTAACATGTAGCATACGTATTTCCTTCTATAAACACCATAGATGCTAACAATGAGCATCCGTGTTTCCTTCTGTAAACACATTGGATGCTAAATGCTAACATGTAGCATACGTATTTCCTTCTGTAAACACCATGGATGTTAAATGCTAACATGTAGGACATGTTGGACCTGAACTGCCAAACATCAGGTGTTTTTCCTGCAGCTCCGGAGTTTTAGTTTATTTATTATTGTTTTATTTTGTGACCTGTCTCATCTTTAGTGTGAAAATCCCGCTGAGCTCAGCATACTGAACGTGAAACATGCTGACTCATGTTTCAGACAGATGACTGATGTTTCAGGGTTTTGTCTCTTTGTTTGGTTTGTTGACGGTTTGGGGGGAGAATTGTGAAAGATCGGCTCGTCCTCCTGTCTGATCACATCCTGAGGATAAAGTTTCACAACCGAACAAAGAAAGTGTGCCGGGAGTCAGAGAAAGATTCACTTTCAGCTTCATCTTTTCTTCATCAGATAAAAACATTAAATCACGCCGAAGACAAGCAACTGATAAAAAATGAAAACACTGCCAGGAAAATAATCTGACAGTTTAAAACAATCCAGAGTCTGTTTTTAATCTGAGACCTGCTGGATTGTTTGACTCGAGGGCAGCAGGAGGGTTAAACTCCTCCCCCTCCTCTCCTCAGGTTGGGGGTCCTAATCCTCTGGATTATCTTCAGTACAGTTCCTCCTGGCTTCAAGCTGAACTCCTCCACAGCCATCATAAATAACTGCCGGTCCTTTTCTCTCTGGGTTCTGAGGATCCGATCCTCCAACTGTTAGAACCCAGATAATTGAGCCTCAGATCTGGAAGTTCTGCAGGAAAAAACTCCAGAAGTTTTTGTTTCAGTAAAGATATTTGTTGGGAGGATTCATTCGAACTTTGTTTTGTTTTATTTGTTTGTTTTTGAGACACAAAGGATGAAGACGATAAACGAGTCGACGTCTTTACGAGCTGAGAACTCAGCAAACCCGCTGACAGTTCTGTGGTTTTACTGCAGGACCCTGTTCAGGATTTACACAGACCCCCTCTGAACGACCGAGGGTCTTCTGGGGGGTCATAAAACCAGTTCCTGCGGACGTGTTGAGGTTTCAGCAGCYCTCTGAAACAGACGCAGGTCTGTCTGGTAAAGAGCTGCGGTGGCCATCTTGAATCAAACTGACAAAAGTTAATCAGGTGATAATTTTCTGACAGGTTTAATTAAATGCTTTAGAAGATATTTTGCTAACAGAGAACACCAATATAGGCATAACTACCCTCCGCCGTGACAAACAGGAAACATTTAACCCTCCAATAAACCTTTCAGATTAAGACAAGTCTGTTCAAAGAGCCATCTGCAACAGGTAAGATATTTGTTATCATTTTCCTACAGAAGCTCAGTTCAGAATGTTCGAAGTGTTTAATTTATCAGGAGCAGGCGCACAAGAGGAACTCGAACATAAAACGGATTTGTTGCATAAAACAAAAATGCTGACGAGGCAAAATTTACAGAACATAGTAGAGAACCGAGACTGAACCAATCATTGGGCCTCATGCAAGAACCATTCATACGCACAGATTTGTTCTTAAGTTGTGCGTACGAGTGATTTAGGAGAATTTGTGACATTCACCAATATTTTCGTATTCTAAGATTTTTTTCAGATACGAACAAAATTCAGGAGTGGTCCAGACCTGTCGTATATTTTACCAGCAGTCAGTCTGCTGTTATCCAGACGGGTTTTCTTCACTAATAACTTTATATTTCATTAGTTTAGTTTGAAGATATTTTGAGTTGAAAATAAATCAGACTCCATAATTATGTTGACAATAGGCTATTCTGCTTGAATT